GCTCCATTTGCTCTCTCTGCCAATAGAACTCCTCCGGAACTCGCGATCACCTCTTCTGGCTTAGCTTCAGCTCCTCATGCTGGCAGTGTCTCTCAGACTTCGCTTTGATATCCACATTTCATCCATGGAGGAGTTTGTTTCCCAGGCGAAACTTATGATCAGCAAGCCTTTCTTCCTTGAGGTTCTTGTGTTTGCGGCGTGGAATATCTGGAAGCAGAGAAATGCTAAAGTATCTGTTGTTTAACTTCAAGAGGGGTCTTTTCTTTCTTACAGAATGAAGGATTAGCTTTCCGCCTCTCTCAGGCTCAGGCTGGATTGGCTTTTTTCTAGCCCTAGCCCTTCTTTCTAGTTTCCCCTTTGTACAACCCCCTCCCCCCTCTCTACTTCTGCTATTATTAATAAAATTTACTGTCGGGGCCTCCCCTACGGTTTCCGCTAAAAAAGGCTCATGGTTACAGATGCAGCCACTACCAAAACCTATATGAATCATCCTTGCATCTCCCTGTATTTGGTTGGGTGGGACTGTGGGAGGCTTTTCCACCCTGGACAAGCTCACTAAACTTGGAAGGAATGTCCCCGAGAAATGTTTGACAGGCCCATTCACCCATTTGACCAAATAAGCTCATCCATGCACAACTAATCATGAGCGTTGGCAATAGTTGGTGATAATTACTTCAAGATTGGGATTGATAAGTGATCTAGTTATTCACACTTATGCTTAGTTTCCGGTTGTTGAACCATGTTGTCAACTTGTGATGAAATATTCCTCAGTAATCTGTTGTGAAAAAATTAGGCACATAAATAGGAAAACGCTGGTTAGCCAACCATAAAAAAATATATAGAAGCTGATTACATAAACATGATGATCGTAATCCACTGAAATGCCAAATGCAGCTTAGTGTTAGCGCCTGCTGATTAGTGCATGATAACTATTATTAATGAAAGTTAATGGCATAATTTAATTAATTAATAGCGTCCATCCATCCCAAACAAAATGCTGCAGAGTCTCATCCATCAAAGATGGAGTGTTTGTATTCCATCCTGAATTTTCAGGTTGTCCTATCCCATTCAATCTGACCCTATCTAAACACTACCTTGTGTGAACCACATGATCCTGGTGTTGCATACAAGTCCCCTGTTAAGATCTATACCAAACTTTTTCCGTGCCGCAAGCTACAGCAGACAAAACTACTGCAATGTTCTGGCAATATAAATTGGGTAGTCCCATCTACAGACTTATTGGAGCATAGATCTGACCCGGATATGCTGAAAGATGGTATTATGAATTACAGGCCTACAGCTCTATCATAGGGAATAAAAGCCTCATGACAGTTTTTTTCTTCACTAAATAGATCGCTTCTTTCAGAGGCTATCGCCCACCTTCTTGTTTAAGATATGACAATCTATCATCTTGTATGTACTCTTTACTAACCACAGAACTAATTTTTGCTGCATGCTTTCTTTTTCTAGGTTCGTGCAACAGTCTCTGAGCTTCAGAACGCCATTAGAGTGTTCAGTCTATTGTCTGTTGCATCAACATACCATTCCCATGGTTTTGATGAGAGGAAAATAGAAACCCATGTCGAGTATTGCAGACACTTGCTTGATGCTGCTAAGGTTCATCGTGATGCCGCTGAACAAGCTGAGAAGCAAACCAAGCAAAAATTGGAAGTTACCCGTCAAATTGCTTTAGCTGATGAAGCTCGCCGGCGGGCTGAAGAACAGAGGAAATTCCAGGTCCTGCTCTTGCTGCATGTATTTCATCATAAATGTCTGTTTGTGTTTGAAAAATATTATATGTTTATGGCTAATGTGGTGCTGGTAACAGTTAGAAAGAAGGAAGCAAGAGGACGAATTAAAGCAAGTAATGCAACAGGAGCAGCACTTTGAGCGTGTCAAGGTATTTTTATATATTACCATGTGTGTTTCAATGAGAGCTATAGATGTCAATGATTCGTTCATAAGTGTTAAAGAACGATTCAAATCTACCCGTGAAAATCGGCCTATACAAAGTTTTGAGCTAGAGCTACTCGACTTGCCTGCACATACCAAAAATGAACTAGCACCCTTCCATCGGTTTTGGTCGGGTTGATTACAACCTGAGATTGAACACAGCTGTTCTTTGTTCGCCAAGGAGGACCAGCTGTGGTATGCCACTCCATTATTGAGATATGTTTGTTGGTATTGGCCCCAGGCTATTTGTGCCTACAGAAGGCATAGTTTCTTTATACTGTTTGATGTGACACATTTTTATGGTTGCTTATGTGGAAAAGACCATTCAATCACAAATAAGTTGCAATGTTTTCTCATGCTATTTGGAACCCTTTGGGAACAATTTTCTCTACAGTATCTGTATTCTAATCTTGCACTATCGCATCACTGAATAATAGGCACTTTATTGGGAAATAAGTCCATAGTCTTCCAAGAATTTGTTATGTATAGAAATGGTGACAGACCATATTTTTCTTGTCCATTGTGTGAAAATCTGCTTTTGTTCATGCAACTTAAGTACCTAACCCAGGATTAGTTTCTCCAAAGCTGTAATGTCACAAGCACATTTGGATTTTGCCTGACAGCTTAAAGCATGATTTGACAATGTACTGTTTCTCATAAGGAACAATGGAAAACATCCAACAACACCCCTGGTAAGAGAAAAGATAGGTCCAGGCATGAAGATGAAGATGGGGACAGTGGGAAGAAGAGGAGGAAGGGTGGCAAGAGAAGGAAGGATCAGAAGACAAAGATGCAATACGAAGATGATGAAGAAGATCAATACAGAAATGAACCAGAGGAAGATGATTATGCAAACATGTCAAGGGATCCTGGCGGTGATAGACCAGAGAAAGCCCCAGATCACCTTCTTGCGGCTGCTGGTCTTGAGGATTCTGACGCCGAAGATGAAACGGTTAGGGTTCCTGTTTCTTTCCCATAAAGTCAAAATACATTTATTTCTGCATCCAAGTTTGTTTGTTTTGTCTTTGGGGAGCTTTGATGTCTGTTTCCTGCTATGCAACGGAAGTTATTTTGCTCCATACATATGGTGGTTTAAACTGTTCATGCTCACAAGTGCTTTGGTGCAAAGTTGCCTTCATCTACTCTTTTGCATTGTAGGGTCATCCTCAATCCGTGATAGAGCGGAAGAGACGAGCATGGTCAGAATCTGACGACGAGGAACCAGTGCAGCGATCAGTGCAACCTACCAGCCCAGGTCCGAATGATCTGAGTGAATGAAATAAGTAGAAGGACAAAGCTCGCTCTTGACAGTGATGATACATTAGGTTATGATGTTGTTGTAGAAGTCCCAACAGTTTAATTTACTTTTGGGCTGTAACAAAATAATTTCTGTGGTAGTTTTTTTTTTGGGAGGGAATTCGCAGTAGTTCTAGAGCTAAGAAAAGATAAACCTTAAGGGCCATGTTTGCCCATACTAACCGAAGCACTGTATCCAATTCATGACACGTTTCTACGTTATCCTGTAGTATGTTTTATGACTATCCTGTCTTTTCTGGTCTGGGCTTGTGTTGTGGTTTTTGCGGGGTGCTCCGTGTTAAGGGTGGAAATGCAAAAGCTAGCAACTTTTTGCAATAAAACTACGTTCCAGGTATGGGTGGGGCCACTTCATACCCTCACCTGCCCTCAATGAGCTTACCCATCACCCTTGCCCATATTTGCCAATGGGTATAATTTATTCCCATACCCATTACTCGACAGGATAGATATGCCTGTGGGCAAAACATCAATTCAAACAACTCGCAGTCATGAAAAGCAATATATAATTACAATTTATAAACAACAACATATACTTATAAACAACACATTTAATAAACAATATCATTTCTCATAAACAACACGTCAAAGCGGAAGTGCCGAACTAAACCCTCTTTTAGGGCTTAATCGGTTAGTCCTCTCCCAAGAGGGTTGGAGAGGATTGACAAGGATTGGGACGTATTGTGGCTTATAAGGGGCTTAAATCCCCCTCAAACTTTTTCAATCCTTTCGGATCCAAACTCAACCGAACAAGGCCTTAAGAAAATAGGATCACACCGTCTTTTAAAAGATTCTGGCAATCCTCATTTTACTGGCCGCTGTTTGGAGTTTCTACGGCCTCTAGCGCTCGTGTGCAATGCGGAGAATTTAACACGGAATGAAGTGTAAAGAATATTAGTCGATGGGAATCGTCTTTCAAAAAGAAGAATCCTCCAGTCTCCCAGCCAAAAGCACTAACCAAACTGCACCTTGGATGTGAGTGTTTGGTTAGCTTATTATCACTGCACAAATGTAAGGTAGTAGCTTCCAGAGCTTCCATAGTCATGTCAAGATAACTTCGTCGAGCAAATGGCATGCTCACAAAAAAACCATGGCAAGGCAAGATCAATGAAAAGATACGCAAAACTTTTGCATACTCAGGGTAGAAAAAAAAAGGGGTAGCAATGACCAGTAACACCACGCGCAGAAGGATACGCGAGATGGCTCGAACGATCTAGCGAGTACAAGAAGTCTCAACTTTCCCATATGATACGCGCATGTTTCAACGTTACAATGCAGCTAAATTCATGCTTCAGTTCACCATGCCCCTAAGCCAGTGTCTCAGAAAATATTACAGAAAGAGAGTCAGTAGCGCCACGCGCCATCTCACAGGATGTTAATTTCGCCGTTCAGGTCAGAGCTCTATGCCTCCACAGCAAATCAGTCATGCTCGCTTGACGATGCTAAGATTAAACACTGGTTCGACGCTTAAACGACAGTAATAACTACTAGCTACCTATAGTAAGCACTGACCGGGAATTTAATCCAGAATAAGCAGAGTACAGGGTGATGGGGAAGGAGTTCAGTCATCATCATCGTCAGGAATGTCTATCACGGCAGGCCAACTTCTTGGATTTGGAGGAGTTGAACCAGGCGGGTCAGCCGAATGAGGTGGAACCACTTGACCAGCAGCAGCGATGGAGCATGGAGCTGGTGGCTGTGATTGATCTGCAGGGGCCTGAGTTATCACCTGGTCAGCAGGAGCGACAGCAGCAGCAATGTCCATGCTTGTAGAGGCCAGCAGAAGCGACAGCAGCAATGTCCATGGATGGAGCTGGTGGCTGGGACTGACCTCCAGCTCCAGGAGCTTCAGCCACCGCCTGATCAGCGGGAGGGGCAAGAACATCCATGGATGGAGCTTCAGCCATCACCTCGTCATCGATAGCAATGACCTCCAAGTGCAGAGCCGGTGGCTCGGTTTGTCCAGACGAGACCTCCTCATCCGGATCCGGCCGGGCCTCGATGGAGCGCGAACGTGCTATCTGAACCAAGCGTTCCCTCTCCCTTCTCCTCCGCACTGTTCTTTTGTTCACGAGCGGCTCGGCCGATCCACTAGAGCACTCCGATTCGTAGAAGTTCTGCCACAGGCTGAAGCAAACGTACTCTTTCTCCTCGGCAGAGCCCCTAGCTTCGCTTCTCGCCGCCTGCCTCTCCGGCGCAGCCCGGTTCGATTGCTTCCGTTTGCTCCGGGTCAGAGGGGCGGCAGGCTGAACGGTTATTCTCGGAGAGTCTTCAGGCCGATGCTGCCTCCGTGTCTTCATCGAGGAGCTGGTCTTGGTCGGCTGCTTGACCGTGCTTTGAGTGGCAGCAGGCCGGGAAATGTGCTTCTCCAACGCGGCCAGGCCTTGCCCTAGCTTTAGTTTCTTCTGAGATGCACAAGGCTGCACACTGGATCTCTGAACGTCCTTCCTGGAGGTGTTGCTTCTCGGCGAGTTTGCGTCGTTGCAACTCCTCCCTGGAGAGAAAAACCCCTGCTCCTCCGACGTAACCGATGCTTGCTTCCGTTTCAGCCGTCTGCTCCGAGGGGCGGCAGAGAGAACAATTGCCTTCTGAGAGTCATCTGCCTTCTTTGAGGGGCTGCTGCCCGGTGATTTTGCATTGCTGCTGAGCAAATGCTCGCGCTTCGCCCATGCGAGAAGCTCTTGCTTCGGCTTTCTCTGAGGGGCAGCGGACAAAACAATTGCTTTCTGAAAGTCTTCAGGCATATTTCTCTTGCGTGCCTTCTTCAAGGAGCTACTCTCCTGCACTTCGTCTGAATCTGGATACGACTGCTGTACAGCTCCTTGTTGTGACTTGGGCATTTTGGTTGTTTCAGTCCGAAGCCGCAGCGTACCTGAAGAAGTCATGTTGTAAGTTGATATCGTAACAAGTTACCTATAGCAAAGAATTGTCTTTAATTTGGGGAGTACTGTAAGTCTACTTCTTATTGGCAGCCAATATGTCGCACTAATGCTGGAAGTACCAAAGTTCACATAATGAAATGATCAAACAAAAAAATCACTATAGCAACAAGTTTACATGACCCACCAAGTTACGTGCAAAAAGAGTTACCATGCAGCTGATCTATTTTTTGTTAGATATCATGGTTTCAGTTTCAGTGCCACTCCTGACACAAACCCGTTGTTTTTCACTTAATTGTACAGCATAAGCAAAAGAATCTATAATAGATAAACACCTACAGCATCAGCCAAGAATTTTATAGCACATGGTAGCTATCTTGATTCCTGAATATTTACGAACTATAGCTGATCTATTTTTTGTTAGATACCATGGTTTCAGTTTCAGTGCCACTCCTGACACAAGCACCCTATTTTTTCACTTAATTGTATAGCATCAACGAAAGAATCTATAATAGATAAGAGGTCACACCTACAACATCAGCCAAGAATTTTATAATACATGGTAGCCATCTTGATTCTTGAATGTATCAAGCTACAGAATGAAAAACAAATTGTGGACACAAACAGTTGCATGCATGCTGACAATTTAAGATACAAGAATGTAAGAATAACTGTAAACCGGACAGATTTTAGGTGAATCGTGTAGTGGTAAAACTGAAGCAGAGGAGCCAGGTTTGACCTCTATTCTCGTTATGGTTAGTTTGGAGCTCATAACCGATGGCGTATTAGATAATTGATTCTGACATTTACCTTTTGGAGCCATCTTTTGTCCTGGTGTCACTGCTGGTTTGGTCACCACGTATTTACCACGACAACCCTTCTTGTGGCTGCAGAAAATAGCATCAGTCAATACACCTTTGAAGTTCTCTCAAACACATACACCTTTGAAGTTCACATGCAAACATTAGCTGAAAGTAAATATTATCTAGAAAAACATTCAGAGTCTCTGAGAGTATTAAAAATAACAAATAAATGGTATACGAGTTTTGTTAGGGTACCAGATCGATCTATTATACTCTCAACAATTCAACTCAGTTCATACATCGATGGTGTTCTGGTGGTGGAAGGGAAGGGAAGGGAAGTAGGTGAGGAAGAGAGAGCCGCCGTCCTTTGCCTGATCCTCCTGGATGCCGATCCAATCGGTGCTTCCAGATTAAGTACCGGTGGCGATGCGTCAACGGTCCAGTTGGGCCCGACAAATCTTCTGTTGGGCTGGACGATCCTCTTGGGCCTGCTGGATATCCTTCTCGCCACGTAGCCGTCTTGGGCCGGGTTCGCTGCCATGGTGGTACTCTGTTCTCCAGTCGTCATGGCAGCGGCTTCCTTGCTCTGCTTGCTCGTCACGGCGCTGACATCCCCCCCTTCTTGAGTTGTGGCTTGTCCCCAAGCCAGCAGTGCAGGGTAGCGTTCGCGCGTGGCCTTGGCATCCTCCCAGGTGGCGTCCATGATCGACGGGTCGGACCAGCGCACGAGTAGTTGTTCTTGTCGGCCTTGTGGGGTTTGGCGCCATCTTGTGTCGATGATCTCCACCGGCTTCAATGGCTCATCGTTGGGTACTGGCAGCGCCGTCTCGACCTGGGTGGTGGGGGAGAGAGCTCGGCGAAGTTGAGACACATGGAAGACGGGGTGGACCTTGGCGCCGGCAGGAAGCTCAAGCTCGTAGGCGACGGGGTTGATGACGCGGATGATCTTGTAGGGGCCGTAGTAGCGGAAGGAGAGCTTGTAGTTCGAGCGACGTACCACTGTCGTTTGGACGTAAGGTTGTAGCTTGACGAAGACAGAGTCGCCCACCTGGAATGATCGTTCGATGCGCTTCTTGTCCGCCTGGGCCTTCATGATATTGCGAGCACGGTGGAGGTGGTCCGAGATGACCTGTTGCATGTGCTTTCGTTCTTCTAGCCAGTCTTGGAGCTGCGGAATCCTGCAAGTGGAAGCAGCTTCGATTCCCCAATGGCGAGGTTCATGACCGTAGAGCGCGACGAAGGGTGACGTGTTCAATGCCGAATGGAAACTGGAGTTGTACCAGAACTCTGCAAGGGCCAAGTACTGATGCCACTTGCGCGGGTTGGCGTGGGTGAAGCACCTGAGGTAAATCTCCAAGCACTGGTTAACACGCTCCGTTTGACCGTCAGTTTGTGGATGGTACGGCGTGCTCATGTTCAGCTCGGTGCCAATTGTCTTGAACAGCTCACGCCAGAAATTGCTAGTGAATACTGGATCTCTGTCTGATACGATAGCTTCAGGCAGTCCGTGTCCAGGTAAGAGTGAGCAACTTTTGCAGCCGTGAACGGGTGACCGAGGGGCAAGAAGTGCGCGTAGCGCGTGAATTTATCCACTACGACAAGGATGCAGTTGAACTTGCCTGACAACGGCAGTCTGTCGATGAAATCCATGGTCACCACCTTCCATGCGCCGTCTGGAATCGGGAGTGGTTCTAGCAATCCAGGGTAGCGCACACGCTCTGGTTTGGCTTGCTGACAGATTGAACAGGACTGCACATACTGTCTGGTGTGCTCTTTCATCTTGGGCCAGGCGAAGAGGTGGCGGAGACGGCAGTAGGTAACAGGCACGCTGGAATGGCCGCCCACAGTACTGTCATGGAAGGCCTGGAGCATGCGTTGCTGGAGTGCGGGGGAGCCACCCAACCAGAGCCTATCTTTGAAATACAGCAGGCCATCGCGCATGGAGAAGCGCTGTTTGGGGTCCGGTCGTCGCGCGAGATCACTGATGATCTTCTGAACTTGTGGGTTGTTCTCATAGCTTGCTGCGATATCGTCTAGCCATACAGCCTTGCAGACTGAAATTGCTGTCGCTGTTTCGTCAGGAGCTCTTCGCGACAGTGCATCAGCGGCTGAGTTCGTTGCGCCTGGGCGATAGCAAATTTTGTAGCGCAGACCAAGAAGCTTAGTAAATGCCTTCTGCTGCCATGGTGTAGAGAGATGTTGGTCGTCGAGGTGGACTAGGCTTCGTTGATTTGTCCGGATGATAAACTCTTCATTCTACAGATAGGGACGCCATTGCTCGATAGCCATAAGAATCGCCATGCATTCCTTCTCGTAAGTGGATAGCCCTCTGTTTCTGGGACCGAGAGGCTTGCTCATATATGCTATGGGGTGACCCTCTTGTTGAAGAACTGCACCCACTCCGTAGCTGCAGGACAGGTGCTGTGATCAATTTCTGCTTCAGAACATCGAAGGCTTACTGTGTATCACTGGTCCACACGAACTGATGATTTTTCTTGAGCAGATTGAAGAGCGGTCGTGCTATGATCCCAAAGTGCTGGACAAATTTCCTGTAGTACCCTGCCAGTCCTAGGAACCCGCGCACCTCCTTGGCGCAAGTGGGCGTTGGCCAATTCTCAATTGTCTGAATTTTGCTGGGGTCAGTGGAAACGCCCTGCTCGTTGATGACGTGTCCAAGGTAAGATATTTGTTGCTGTGCAAACGAGCACTTGGATTGCTTCACTTGCCAATGATCTGCCCGAAGCAATTGCAACACTTTCCTGATGTGCTGAATGTGCTCTTTCAGTGTCTTGCTGAAGATGAGAATGTCGTCGAAGAACGAGATCGCACAGACACGGTTTACAGGGCGGAGAGTGGTGGTAATGGCGCTGTTGAATGTAGCCGGTCCTCCGGTGACCCCGAATGGCATAACGCGGTACTCCCAATGGCCGGAATGGGTCTGGAATGCCGTTTTGTACTCTTCACCTTCCGCCATTCTGATTTGATGGAATCCTACGCGCAGATCTAATTTGGAGAACCACTTGGCGCCCGCAAGCTCGTCCAGCAGCTCGTCTATGAGGGGAATTGGGTACTTGCTGGCCACCGTCATGGAATTGAGTCATCGATAATCAACGCAGAGACGCCACGTTCCGTCCTTCTTTTTGACAAGCAGTGTTGGCGAAGAGAACGGACTGGAGCTTTTTTGAATAATGCCGGCATCGAGTAGCTCTTGCACCTGCCGCTCGATTTCTGTCTTGAGTTCCGGCTTATATCTGTACGACCGCAGGTTAACTGGTTGTGCTCCTGCCATCAATGGAATTATATGGTCACAGTCGCGTCTCGGAGGCAGGCATCATGGATCTTCAAACACATCAGTGAACTGTTCCAGTAAACGCAGAACTTCAGTTGGTATTGGGGTGTCAGGTTTGCTGCTTCCATCCAATGAATTCAGTTGCACAACATGAGCGACTGAGCCTTGTTTACATGCTTTGAGTAGTTTTGGAGCTGATATGACAGAGCATTGTGTTTGATCCGAAGAAACTGCCAACAGTTTCAGTTGGCCTTCAGGTGTAGTGACTGTCAGGTACTACTCAATCCAGCCAATGTTCATAGGGTTGTGCTTGCGGAGCCGATCCATACCAAGTATAGCGTCGTACGATCCCAGCTTGAGGATTTTGAAATCCGTTTGAAACTGGTGACCTTGTGTGACCCATTGACACGCAGGAATGTAACGAGTGCAAGGAATGGTAGCTCCATCTGCAACTCGCACACGGCACGGCTTCGGCAAAGTAGTTGCTCCAGCCAGCTTGGTCGCCAGGGTGCTGTCAACGAAAGATGTTGAACTGCCGGAGTCCACTAGCAGTAGTATTTCTTGCCCTTGTACCCATGCTTGCAGTTGTAGGACCCCGGGGGTCTGATGATCCGTCTTCAGCCTGACGCGAGAGAGTGCATAGGTTTTCTTCTTCAGAAACGGGCGAATCGGGTGGTGAGTCACCAGTTGGATCATCCAGGCTGAACATGGCAAGCAGTTCGTCGACGATGTGCATTTGTACTGTTGGTGGGCACACATGGTCTTTGCCCCAGCGTTCTCCGCATTTGAAACAAAGCCCTTTTGCTCGTCTAAATTGACGCAGTGCTGCGATCTTGCTTGTTTCAGACGAGGCCCGAGCTGCATCGGTCCCACGTCTGTCTTCAGAACCGGTCACAGGTGTCACTGGTCGACTAAAGAAGGAGGGTGGAGTCGATCTGACCGCGTGGCTTGGCCCTTGGTTGGTGTTGGAGAAGCGCCTGTAGGGTAAGTCGCCGTCGGCCACTTCCTCCTGAAGTAGGGCCAGCGAACAAGCCATGTCCAGGTCCGGTGGGCGCTGTACGAGCACCACCGCGCGGATGTCCGGTCGCAATCCCTCGACAAAGCGCGTCAGGAAAAAATATGGGTGAGTATTTTCGGAATAAGAAATGAGGTGATTCATCAGTGATTCAAATCGCTCGATGAAATCTGCGACAGTAGTATGCTGCTTAATAGCGTAAAACTGTCGGATGAGCATCTGGTGTTTGTCGCGCCCGAATCGGGTGCAGAGTAATGAAGTGAACGATTCCCAGTCGAGCCCAATCAGTTTCTTCTAAACTGACTGGAGCCAGATGCCCACAGGGCTTGAGAAGTTCAAAATCGCCATAGGGACACGGTATGCATCATGAACGGCGAACATCTGGAAATACTGCTCACAGAGCGTTTTCCAGAGCTGCGGGTTTTCGCCGGTGAACAGGGGAAAATTCATGGGAGGTGGATTTTGCCCCAAATTGGCGAGGAACGATGGAGTTATGTGATCTGGAGGGGAAAGTGCCAGGTGCTGAGACATACCCGTGACCGGGAGTGCCGTCGGTGACTCGATGGTCACCGACGGGAGCCCCCCGGTGAGATCGACGTGCCGTGGCCACTGGGCCCGTGGAGTATTCCTCGCGTTTGAAGCAGCGGTGGCGGAGGAACTTGGGGCGTCGCTCCACTCGACGAAGACGGTGCGGTTGGTTGGGGAGGGGTCGCTTGCATCATGGCGACTGTGTTTTCCAGCTTGGTGAAGCGGGCTTCTAGATCGGGTTTCCACCGAAGGAGATCCTCGATCTGCGATGTCTGCGCTTGCAGCTGCTTGAGGACGCTTGCGGAGTCGCTCTTCGCGTCCTGATGGAGCTTGTCGAGGTACTCTTTGAGCGCCGGATCCATGGCGGCGAGGAAGACTTGCCGGGCGTGGACGCGTTGTCGAGTTTCCAGGATGTCGCGGCGGAGATCGATGGTGGTGGTGGTCTTTGATACCAGGATGTTAGGGTACCAGATCGATCTATTATACTCTCAACAATTCAACTCAGTTCATACATCGATGGTGTTCTGGTGGTGGAAGGGAAGTAGGTGAGGAAGAGAGAGCCGCCGTCCTTTGCCTGATCCTCCTGGATGCCGATCCAATCGGTGCTTCCAGATTAAGTACCGGTGGCGATGCGTCAACGGGTCCAGTTGGGCCTGACAAATCTTCTGTTGGGCTGGACAATCCTCTTGGGCCTGCTGGATATCCTTCTTGCCACGTAGCCGTCTTGGGCCGGGTTCGCTGCCATGGTGGTACTCTGTTCTCCACTCTGGTCACCGACGGGAGCCCCCCGGTGAGATCGACGTGCCGTGGCCACTGGGCCCGTGGAGTATTCCTCGCGTTTGAAGCAGCGGTGGCGGAGGAACTTGGGGCGTCGCTCCACTCGACGAAGACGGTGCGGTTGGTTGGGGAGGGGTCGCTTGCATCATGGCGACTGTGTTTTCCAGCTTGGTGAAGCGGGCTTCTAGATCGGGTTTCCACCGAAGGAGATCCTCGATCTGCGATGTCTGCGCTTGCAGCTGCTTGAGGACGCTTGCGGAGTCGCTCTTCGCGTCCTGATGGAGCTTGTCGAGGTACTCTTTGAGCGCCGGATCCATGGCGGCGAGGAAGACTTGCCGGGCGTGGACGCGTTGTCGAGTTTCCAGGATGTCGCGGCGGAGATCGATGGTGGTGGTGGTCTTTGATACCAGGATGTTAGGGTACCAGATCGATCTATTATACTCTCAACAATTCAACTCAGTTCATACATCGATGGTGTTCTGGTGGTGGAAGGGAAGTAGGTGAGGAAGAGAGAGCCGCCGTCCTTTGCCTGATCCTCCTGGATGCCGATCCAATCGGTGCTTCCAGATTAAGTACCGGTGGCGATGCGTCAACGGGTCCAGTTGGGCCTGACAAATCTTCTGTTGGGCTGGACAATCCTCTTGGGCCTGCTGGATATCCTTCTTGCCACGTAGCCGTCTTGGGCCGGGTTCGCTGCCATGGTGGTACTCTGTTCTCCAGTCGTCATGGCAGCGGCTCCCTTGCTCTGCTTGCTCGTCACGGCGCTGACAAGTTTGAGACGTCATTCTGCGTCTAAATGATTGAGAGGCAAATTTCAAAAAGAAACGAACCACCTAGTGTTCAAGCCTTCAACGGCATATCTTGTCGACTTTGTGCGAGAAAACAGCAATTAAGAATGTGAGGCACAATTTTACAACTCATCATATAAACATGATGAGTTATATGTCAGGGTAAATTTATGCAGTCTTACTTGTGCCAGTGACAAAGCTTGTTGCCACAGGTTGGATCTTCGCTAACATTCTCGATACAGCAGGAATCAGATGGAGGTCCCAGGCTCTTGGCCCTCACAAGTGTATTGCCACACTTGTCACACTGAAATTTAAAATATTGAACATGCCAGTAAGAGGTAAACCAGATTGAAAATTAATAACCAAAAGGAAAACACTAAAAAGAGAACTATGCATGGAAAGTAGTACCTTCCACATAGAGCCCTGGATGTTGCAGGATTTTTCCTGACTGAAATCATGGGTAGTGGTGATACAGTAGCCACTTATCGGTCTCTGGGTAGTGTGGCGCAAGCAAAAGTGGAAATCACCAACAGGCTTAAATGGTTATAAACATATCTGCCAGAAAATACTAACCGCGTAATCGTCGACGGAGCTAGTGTTGATCGCATCCATCCAATCACGGAATGCAGGACCATGGCTGCATGAATGCACAGGAAAATTTAAGCAGCAGGCAGGCAGGCATGCTAGGAGAAGACTAAGATTGGAACACACAATCGTAGTTGAAAGGATACAAGTATTTACCCGAGGCTCGTCAGACCACGCTTTACAAATACGATTCCATGAATCATGAGATGCAGCAGGGCGTTCTTCAGATTGGCATTTGTGCGATATCGCGGCATTGGCTTGTAGAGTGTTATTTTGCTCAGGTCTCCAAGGGAACAGTATCCGAAAGAACTGCTTGTGTACAATCGAATCAGTGTTTTCTTTATATTATTTTTCATAATAAACTAAGTCAATTTAATAATTGAAAAAAACACTCTCTGTATACTAATATAAGACGTTTTAGCTCACTTTTACTAGCATAAAACGTCTTATATTAGTTTCCAGAGGGATTATATTACTAGATAACACACTCACGTTTTATAGCCCATAATCAACATACAGTAAGGAAATGCTCTTGCTAAAGTCTACTCCCTCCGTTCCAAAGTTGAGTCATCTAATTTGGAACGGAGGGAGTACATATCTAGCTAATGCGACAGTGAGTTCATTAAGGAAGTGCTGCGATCTATAAAAGTGAATGCTGAGCCGAGCTCAGGCAAGCAGTCAGTGGGGAAAATGCTATATTTGGAAAGAAAGAAAAAAAAATCAAGATCCGAAGTCATTGCACCGTTCGGACGGAAAAATCGACTCAGGCCGAATTGGAAATCAAAATCTTCTACTGTATGACATTCGAAGTGTCAAATGGTACACAATGAAACATCTTGTGAGGCGATTAAGAAGAATCTATATCATTTCGCCAAAAAAAAAGAGAACATATCTACAGCACCACGATCCTAGGCGGGATTGTGGTTGAAAGACGGTGAAATAAATTGGGTGAGCAAGCCATCTCCTAACCTAATTAACGGGGACTCCAACATAATTAATCCTGGCACCCACCCCAGTCCCCCCCTCCCAAAAAAAAATCAAAGAAATGGGAGTGCAAGAGGCGGACTTACGTGATCGTCTTGGTGCGCGGGGCGGCCCGCTCGACGGAGAAGCCGGCGTCGGCGAGCGCGCCGCGGAAGTAGAGCTCGTCGTAGTGCCGGAACAGCTCCCACGGGTTCTCGTCGTCCGCGTCCGGATCCGCCCCCGCCCCCATGGCCTCCCCCACTCACAAGCTCACAAGCTCACGCGGTCACGCCTCAGGCGAGCGGCGGCAGCTTCGCGGGCAAGGATGAAGCGGCAGCGGCAGCAAGATCTCTCCCTCCCTCTCTCCTCTCCTCAGGCGAGCGGCGGCGGCAGCAAGACGAACCGCCGTGAGGGGAAAGAGAAGTGGGGGGGATTGGGGTTTTCTTGATCCTGCAGGAGGCCTCCGCTGCCCCGTGCATGAAAAAATGGCGAGTGAGAGTGAGAGAGAGGGGGTAGAGTAGGAGCCTAGGAGAGGTGCTTCGTGGGAGTGTCAGTGGTGCTGACGCGCGGGCCCGCGTGGAGACGCTGGTTCCGCGTAGGCGCTGCTGTACACTCGTGTGTGTGGAAGACGGGGGCAGAGGGGGAGGCTCTGGAGGTGCGCTGTGGGCGGACGGCTGGGATGCCGCGACGCTTGGCGTGGGCGCGGCCCGAGCCGCCGGATGGAAAAGGAAAAGTCACGCGCGGACTTGACCTCTGGTTCGCCCATGTGGGTGGGTGGGTGGGCCCGTGCCCAGCGGGAGCTAGCTACAGGAGTAGGACTCGATTTGCGAATGAAATGGGGCAAAGGCGCTCCCGCAGAAAGGACTGGACGCGCATACTAGAATCGTGCAACTTCCTTTTTACTGTGCCAATCCTGTTTAACTTTTGTTTCTACCGAAGCAAAACTTTTATTTCTACCGGGCTCACACGCTTCGATTTGATGGATTTTACCGGATTCTCGTAGGGAGCTCGGTTCCCGAGGGATGGTTCTATCTGGCCCGTTTGGAGCAGAGGGGAAAAGTACCGATGGAATTTATTCCAAGCACTGTTTGTTTTTACCCCACGGTTCCGCGGGAAACCGGAAAAATTCACCCTGCCTACGGAGAAGGGGACGGAGATGCTCAGGCCGACTCGAGCTCGGCCGACAAAAATGTTTCTTTGTTCCTTATGGTCTTTTTAACCGTCAAGAACCGGAGCAAAACCGTAAGCTGGTTTCTTCCTGGCAACTTAAATTTTGCATTGTAAGCGAATACCATCACCTTTGAGATAGAAATGGAGACAAGAGGAAGTATGACATGACTAAGAATGTTGCTACGTGCACGGCACTAGCTGCGTGGGTTTTGCACCACAACTCAACTCGGCCTTCCATCATGTGTATGTGTTGGAGCATGGTCGTCGGATCACATGTCGTCTGACAATCAGGTTCAAGGAGTCGTGTATGAAGTAGTCTCACATGATTAAATGGTGCTATTTATGGCGTCATTGGAAGTTTGGTGGCATGGGCTCTTTTTGTTTTTGCGGGGATGGTGCCATGGGCTTTACTTGCACGTGGATTTTGGATGCACATTTAAACATGTGGATCTTTAAACTTTAATATGGGAATGTGTTCTTGAGTACTTCATCCTTTCCGGTTTATAGGGTTTATTTCAAAATCTTAGTTTTTTTTTTCATTTTATAAGGCCTAATTTGGTTGTTCATCATCACAAGTTCAGATTTCAAGATGCATTAAATAATTGCATGCAAGTATTAAGAGAAAATTGATCAATGCATGTACATTATGCATGCATGCATTGCATTGCAATTAATACATTGATAAACATAAATTTTTGAGAAAAATAAGAGCATTAATTGAGTGTTTTGCAAATTATAAAAAATATTCTAGCACTCACCATCTACTTTGGTTGGTGAGATTTTTGAATTGAGCCCTATAAACCAGAAATGAGGGACACATACCATCAGAAGGGGACACAATTTCCGAAGAGGTTTCATAAAGTTCAAAATTGGCAATAAAAATGATGCTTACGTGGTTAATTTTGGAGCTCATGTTTTTATTCTCAAATGTATTTGACTTCTGATGGACTATTTAGAGAGCCGAAATGGTATTAGGTTCGTTGGCAGCTAAAGGAGAAAGGAACGTTCTTAACTCACTCACTCTACAGTCATTACTGCTTCTAGAGCTAGTTAAAGACCTCAGCATAAACAAAAGACCTTAGCATAAAGCTTTCTTAAATGCTTATGTCAAGATCAAGGACTTATAGTGGTCGTACCTCATGATCCATGTGGCGACTAACTCAACTTGTACATCAAGGGTGGCCCGACTCATCAAATCGTCAATATTGCGCCCTGAGCATATATATTCGAAAACTGTGATTGTGAGTTTTCAGATATGCATTGAATATCCAGTTTTCACTCTTGTTCTAAATGCTGATTTGCTTTCATTTTGGGTGGAAATGAGAGAGGACGAGACCTTGTGTTTGACAAATAAATAAAAAGAATGGATGACAAACACGGGAGATCATATTTGCCGTGTAACACGTCTAATGTTGAGCAATCCCATAAGAGGAGTCAATTGCAAGAAACCACCACATTTGTGGCTAGGTTTGCAGGAAACTATCAAGTCGTTAATCCGTTGCAAAAAACACCGTAAAATCTCTTAACCCGTTGCAAAAAGCACTGAACAACCGTTTAGCCTCGTTTGATCTCTTTACCGACGGGTGGGCCCCGAAAACGCTGACGTGGCATGACAGACAGGCAAACAGCGCCGTTAGGACCAAAACGGTCAAGACGCCGCGCCGGTCGGTCCTGTCGGTGCTTGCCAAACAGATCCCCCGCGCCCTCTCTCTCTCTCCCTCGCCCCTCTCCTCGGTCTCCCCCTCTCCCCCTCTCTCTAGCTCTGGTCGTCGTCGATGAGAAGCCAGCTCGCCGCCGTCCGCCATGGTTTTGTGGAGCGACCACAACGAGGAATCGGGTTACTGGGAGGAGGTTCATTGCCTGTGGACTTGATGTGAGTGCTAGCAAAAATCTGTAGCTTGCTTATTTTGTGAAGAATTATAAATTGTTCATATGCACTGTTCATTGTTCATGTTCACTGTTCATTATTCATGTTCACTGTTCACCTAGTAGTTTAGTTAAAGGTACTGTCATGTACCATACCATAGTGACTGGGTGAAGTAAATGAATTGCTCATAGATACTCCCTCCGTCCGGGTTTATCAGGCCTAAAGACAATTTCTCTTAGACCAAGACACATAGTAATTTGCTCACATTAATTCTTCCATTCCACTCCCAATGCACTCTCTCACATGCATGCAGCCAATGAAAAAGCACACATGAAGTGTATTAACTTTTCAGCCATGGCACCAACAACAATAGCTTTCAATACAACCAATGAAATGGTTGCATGCATGCACCTTTCCAACGCGGGCCTTATAAAAGGGGACATGCTTGTGATGCTGAGAGGCCTAATAAACCCGAACGGAGGGAGTATAAATGAAGAACACCACAGTGATATAAATGAATTAAATTTTGCTGTTAAAAATTAAGTACGTAGATATAAGGTATCCATAGTGATTGAGTGAAGTAAAGTGTGCTGTTAAAAACTATCATAGTGCATTATTCATAGATATAAATGAAGTAAATGAGTTGAACTAAATTGTATTGTGCTGTTAAAAATTAAGGTATAAATGAAGTAAATTCAGTGTAGTATGCTGTTAAAAATTCAGATATAAATTCAGAATTGAGCTGAATTGTGCATGTGCAGTATACTATAGTTGTTTTGAATTGGACTGAATAGAAGTGAAGTGAAAAAGGAAGTAAATGCATTTGTACTTGTTGTTTTGCAGGAAGCAAGCAGTTGTGGTGTTGTACAATGGGTAGATGAGGAGTGGCCAGAGCATCTGCAGAATGCTCTTCACAAACTATGGCTTTTGTATGAGGATTGCCAGCGTGCTAATAGGATGGCATGTCTGGAACATTCATCACTTGTCCACAATCTAACATCACAGAAGAACAAGCTACAGGAGACTTATGAGAAGCTTGTTGAGGATGTGAATAACCTACTTGATACCCAGGACAATATTCCCAAGGAAAATGAAGCCCAACAAGGTGAACATGAGGAAATCACTCCTCCTTTGGACAACAATATTTCAGCTTTGAAGGAACAGCTGGGTGCAATGGATGCTGAGAACAAAGAACTGAAGCAAAAGGTTGACCAGTTGAAGAGCATTCATGTTGCCCAAAGTAATGTGATTAGGAATCTGAAGTTTGTTCATTTTAAGGAGAAGGAAAAGTTGAGCACTGAGAGGAGGAATTTGGAGTTTCACATTGCTGATCTTGTCAAAGCTAGTTACAAGAACAAGAGAAAGCTGAAGGACATCAAGGATATTTGTGATGAAGAGTGATTTGTAATCTGACCATGTGGGTCATTATCTTAAGTTTCAAGCATTGAACTATGGCTTGTAATGTGTGAACTAGTGGCAGTTTGGAGTATTCGAAGTAGGGTGTAGCCTTGAACTATGTCTTGTAAGCTTTGAACTATGGTGTCATGATGTTAACTATGTTGTTAAGTATGATGTTAACTATGGTGTCATGATGTTAACTATGTTAGTGACTAGAGTTGTTAAGTATGATGTTAACTATGCCATGAAGTTAACTATGGCACCCTAAATGATGGAATGAGGATATGTTGGATACCGTCGACGTTGAGGCACCCTAGATAAATTAGGTTATTTTGAATACCGTCAACGTCGAGGCACCCTAGATGATCAAATTAGGTTATCTTGGATATCGTCGATGCCGAGGCACCCTAGATGATCAAATTAGGTTATCTTGGATACCGTTGATGTCGAGGCACCTTAGATGATCAAATTAGGTTATCTTGGATATCGTCGATGCCGAGGCACCCTAGATGATCAAATTAGGTTATCTTGGATATCGTCGACGTCGAGGCACCCTAGATGGTCAAATTAGGTCATCTTGGAT